TGGTTCTCTCACTTTGGGAACGAGCCACTGCTGTTTTTTCCCATTAAAATGAACGAGCGTTTTACTCTGTACTATTTATAGAAACTTGTTGTGTTGTTGTTGTCGTCTCAAACTGTGACGTCATCACCGTGTGTCGGTCTCACGCTGCACGGCAGAGGTATGTGGGCACCGAGCCAATCCGGGGGTCCGATGTTTGAAGAGGGGCACGGTCTCCACGGCAACCACCTCCAACGCAAGAAATGTCAGGTCCCGACAACAAAACAGACCGGATGACTTCATTCAGTGATTAAAGTCCTGGTTTGGACCTAGTTTGACATGGTTTAGTCCTAGTTTAGTCCTGATTTAGTCTGTGTTTAGTCCGGGTTTAGTCCTGGTTTAGACCTGGTTTAGTCCTGGTTTAGACCTGGTTTAGTCCTGGTTTAGTACTGGTTTAGTACTGGTTTAGACCTGGTTTAGACCTGGTTTAGTCCTGGTTTAGTCCTGGTTTAGTCCTGGTTTAGTCCTGGTTTAGTCCTGGTTTAGTCCTGTATTAGTTTCACTTCTGGAGATGAGAAAGTGGAAGTAAAGAAGATTGTGGGATTTCTTTTTAACTATTAACTCTTTCTCTCTGGTCCTACAAGTCTCTGATGGTCCTACAGGTCTCTGATGGTCCTACAGGTCTCTGATGGTCCTACAAGTCTCTGATGGTCCTACAGGTCTCTGATGGTCCTATAGGTCTCTGATGGTCCTACAGGGTCTCTGATGGTCCTATAGGTTTCTGATGGTCCTACAGGTCTCTGATGGTCCTACAGGTCTCTGATGGTCCTACAGGTCTCTGATGGTCCTACAAGTCTCTGATGGTCCTACAGGTCTCTGATGGTCCTATAGGTCTCTGATGGTCCTATAGGTCTCTGATGGTCCTACAGGGTCTCTGATGGTCCTATAGGTCTCTGATGGTCCTACAGGTCTCTGATGGTCTTACAGGTCTCTGATGGTCCTATAGGTCTCTGATGGTCCTATAGGTCTCTGATGGTCCTACAGGTCTCTGATGGTCCTACAAGTCTCTGATAGTCCTACAAGTCTCTGATGGTCCTACAGGTCTCTGATGGTCCTATAGGTCTCTGATGGTCCTACAGGTCTCTGATGGTCCTACAAGTCTCTGATGGTCCTACAAGTCTCTGATGGTCCTACAGGTCTCTGATGGTCCTATAGGTCTCTGATGGTCCTATAGGTCTCTGATGGTCCTACAGGGTCTCTGATGGTCCTACAGGTCTCTGATGGTCCTATAGGTCTCTGATGGTCCTATAGGTCTCTGATGGTTCTACAAGTCTCTGATGGTCCTATAGGTCTCTGATGGTCCTACAGGGTCTCTGATGGTCCTACAGGTCTCTGATGGTCCTATAGGTCTCTGATGGTTCTACAAGTCTCTGATGGTCCTATAGGTCTCTGATGGTCCTACAGGGTCTCTGATGGTCCTACAGGTCTCTGATGGTCCTATAGGTCTCTGATGGTCCTATAGGTCTCTGATGGTCCTACAGGTCTCTGATGGTCCTACAGGTCTCTGCTAGTCCTGCTTTAGTCCTGCTTTAGTTCCGTTTGTGTGTCGTGCAAAGTCAGGTACCTTATCTTTAATAAATCAGTGCCTCTGTCTCACTGTGTCACGGTCCGGCGCTAGGACCCTGCTCCTCCGTCCCTGTGCCTTTTGTCTGCGCATGCCCCTCCCTCCTCCTCCTCCCCCCGCCCCTCTCTCTCCCCCGCTCCTCCCCCCTCCCTCCCCCCTCCCTCCCTCCTCTCGGTCCCCGGTGCAAGCCTCGGCTCGCACTCCGCTCTGCTCCCCGCGCCTCCCGGATCGTCATGGCCGTCAACCTGGGCACGCACCGCCTGGCCCTGCTCACGGCCTACCAGGACGTGATCGACGAGGCCACCGACACGGACTGGTGAGTCTACCGGGCCCGGACCCCCCTGGACCCCCCCACGGCAGCAGCAGAGCCAGCGGGGGGGGACGTGTGGATGACGGGAGGATGCAAACACACACAGCATCACACTCAGCATCTACACAACTACACACCACTTCTTACGCACGTTTCTACGCACACAACGTATCATTCTGCGGTTCGGATTCTGCTACGGAGCTTTTTCACGCAGCGTGTGTCGTCATTGTGCACATTTTGGAGATTTGTGCGTGAGCTTGTGCTGTTGCGAAGGTTTGGGGCGTTTGGAGGAGAAGGCGTTTGGTGGGTCGGATGTTGAGGCGCCTGTAGAAGGGAGGAGGGGGGAGAGATGGGGGAGAGATGGGGCCCTGGGATCGGGTTGGAAGGAAGAGGCGAGGCCCGGAGCGTGAGCAGCTAAAATGGACTCTGTGGAGTTTGGGGTTCAGGGTGTAGTGACGTGCATCACCTGCAGGGGCGCTGCTCTGTGTGGAGGAGGCAGGACGGAGAGAGGGGGAGAGAGGAGAGAGGGGGGAGTGAGAGGAGAGAGAGAGAGGGAGGGGGGGGGGGGGGGGGGGGGGGAGTGAGAGGAGAGAGAGAGAGAGAGAGAGAGAGAGAGAGAGAGAGATGAGAGAGAGAGGAGAGAGAGAGAGAGTGAGAGAGATGAGAGAGAGAGAGAGAGAGAGAGAGAGAGAGAGAGAGAGAGAGAGAGAGAGAGAGAGAGAGAGAGGAGAGAGAGAGAGAGAGAGAGAGAGAGAGAGAGAGAGAGAGAGAGAGAGAGAGAGAGAGAGAGAGAGAGAGACCAGAGAGAGACCCTGACCTCAATTGTTTTCTTTCCTCCATCCATCTTTTCATCGAAGTTTACAATCTTCCCTGTTCCTGCTGAAGTAAAGCAGCCCCACAGTATGATGCTACCACCCCTATACCAGGGATGGAGCACTGAAGCTGACGATCAGTGGTAGTTTTGTGGCATATATTCAGTAACGTTTCAACACCATGTCATTGACAAATCTAAGTGAACACGAGCGAGCTGGAGCCTATGTCCTTATATGGGCGTTAGCTTTGTATGTTACAGGATCACATGTGTTGCTAAGACGGTTGCTAGGAGAGGAGAGTTTTCCCGAGCTCTGATTGGTCGCTCCTTATATGGTTCATATCTGTATATACAACATCATATAACTGCGAGTATAGCATTAAAGTCAGAGGAAACTTTTTTCTCTCTCTGGTCTCTCTCTGGTCTCTCTCTGGTCTCTCTCTGGTCTCTCTCTGGTCTCGCTCTGGTCTCGCTCTGGTCTCTCTCTGGTCTCGCTCTGGTCTCTCTCTGGTCTCTCTCTGGTCTCTCTCTGGTCTCTCTCTGGTCTCTCTCTGGTCTCTCTCTGGTCTCTCTCTGGTCTCTCTCTGGTGTTTCTTTGAGCCATGTCTCGGTTCATGTTTCCAGCAGAAGTGAAAGCAGAAGTGGATTTATGTTTTTATGTTTGAGAAATGTGTGAGTTTGACGAGAATTAGCCTCACAGTGATTTCGGACTGAGGCTGTAGACCCAGGATTGAGACTGTAGACCCAGGACTGAGGCTGTAGACCCAGGACTGAGACTGTAGACCCAGGACTGAGGCTGTAGACCCAGGACTGAGACTGTAGACCCAGGACTGAGGCTGAAGACCCAGGACTGAGGTTGTAGACCCAGGACTGAGGCTGAAGACCCAGGACTGAGGCTGAAGACCCAGGACTGAGGCTGAAGACCCAGGACTGAGGCTGAAGACCCAGGACTGAGGCTGAAGACCCAGGACTGAGGCTGAAGACCCAGGACTGAGGCTGAAGACCCAGGACTGAGGCTGAAGACCCAGGACTGAGGCTGTAGACCCAGGACTGAGGCTGTAGACCCAGGACTGAGGCTGTAGACCCAGGACTGAGGCTGTAGACCCAGGACTGAGGCTGTAGACCCAGGACTGAGGCTGTAGACTGCCCCTGACTCTTGAAAGATAGACAGATGTTGTGATTGGTCGCTGAGTCTCTCCTGTGTTGTGATTGGTCTGTTCATGATGAGGTCCAGAGGGATGTGTAGGTACTCACTCAGAGGAAACTCACTTGTTCCACTCCACGCTCTCAGAGGACCAGGAGCAGGACCAGGAGCAGGACCAGGAGCAGGACCAGGAGCAGGACCAGGAGCAGGACCAGGAGCAGGACCAGGAGCAGGACCAGGACCAGGAGAGGGACAGAACCAGGATCAGTCAGAGTCTGGGTTCAAGTCCTGGATAGATCTGCAGAATGCATACCTGAATGTATACCTGGTCTCAGTCCTGGTCTCAGTCCTGGTCTCAGTCCTGGTCTCAGTCCTGGTCTCAGTTCTGGTCCAGTCCTGCCTCAGTCCTGCCTAGGGTTTAATATTTTTCCCGAAAATGAGACGTATCAAATCCCGGGAAAAGACGACACCTTTCCCGGGAAATCCCAGGAAATAGCTGTTGTTTTTAGCCCAAGTAATGTATGACATCACTCAAATATATAATCCAACAAAAGCTGCCATCTCCACTAGTGTTTCACCAAGCGACGTGCTTTTCTAAAGTAGCCATAGCGTTTTCAGATGTTTTGTTGATGGGCTTTCTTCAGGAATTTCACTATTATGAGATTCTAAATGTCTGCGCAATCCACAAAAGTGACGTGCGGTTTGGAGGCACTGACTTCAGCCCTGTCAGATGAACATATATCATATAAATCAACAGAACCTACAGAGCGGCTTATTCACAATTAGTTTGGCTACAGCAGAATGTTTTCCATGGCCCGCATTGTTTGCTCAAACAAAACGCAAAAGTTCGTAAAAGGCACATTTCCAATTGTGTTATGGGTCTTACCTTAGTTATTAATGAACAGCACAGACCACTTCAGTTCAGACCAGTTTCATGTTTAAGTCCATATAATAGTTTGAGCGCAGATATGTAATCCCCCATTTGGAAATAAGCCCAAAGAGTTTTAAAGCGTAAAACAAAACGGGTGCCACGGTCCTCCATAAACTCCTGTGTTTTCGCTGCAGCCGGCTCTCGGCGCATCCAATTTCTAATATCAACCTTCTTACCCTTCTCCTCTCTTCCTTATCATTCCTATCGTCATTGGAAGCAGAACATTACCCTAAATGCATTTTATATGATTTTAAAATGTGTTATATGTATGTTAGCCAAACCTGTTGCTGCCCTGAGCAGATAGAAAAAAAGAAAGGAGCTTTCTGATAGAATTGGACGTAACCAAATTCTGGGCTCACATGTGCCCCGTACCCTGAGGCCGGCCTCATTACAAGTTGTGGTTTAGCGCGATTAAGACCCATATTTGTTGTCAAAAACACAATTTAGGAGCCATCCTCTCAGCTGTAGACATGTTGATTGTAAATGAAATATGTTTGAACTTTGAACAACAATAAACGTGCTTTATAATAGGAGCGCACTGTATTTTTTTTTTACTTTCATTTCCCGTTTCCCGTCATAACATTTCCCGGGAATCGGGAAATAGTTTTCATCAGATTGCCCGGGAATCCCGTATCCCGGGATTAAACCCTAGTCCTGCCTCAGTCCTGCCTCAGCCCTAGCCCTTGTCCTGCCTCAGCCCTAGCCCTGGTCCTGCCTCAGTCCTGGTCCAGTCCTGGTCCAGTCCTGGTCCAGTCCTGGTCCAGTCCTGGTCTAGTCCTGGTCCTGGTCCACATATTGGGGCGTGTCCTGAATATGGGTGATGTGTTCTTCCTGTTTTTTTCCGCCTGATGAGATTCGAACAAAGACAAACAGCTCTGACCCCAGACACTCGGGCCCCCCCCTCCTCACGCCCCCCCCCCCCCCCCCCCTCACCCTTACCCTCACCCTTACCCTCACCCCATCTCTAATGCCCTGTTAAATACCCCCCGGTGCCCTCTCACATGACATCATCTCATCGTCAGCTTTTGTGAATGAACTCGGACTGAGACAGAGACCGGACTGAGACAGGGACCGGACTGAGACAGAGACCGGACTGAGACAGGGACCGGACTGAGACAGAGACCGGACTGAGACAGAGACCGGACTGAGACAGGGACCGGACTGAGGCAGGGACCGGACTGTGACAGAGACCGGACTGAGGCAGGGACCGGACTGTGACAGAGACCGGACTGAGGCAGGGACCGGACTGAGGCAGGGACCGGACTGAGACAGGGACCGGACTGAGACAGAGACCGGACTGAGGCAGGGACCGGACTGAGACAGGGACTGGACTGAGACAGAGACCGGACTGAGGCAGGACCCGGACTGTGACAGGGACCGGACTGAGGCAGGGACCGGACTGAGGCAGGGATCGGACTGAGGCAGGGGCCGGACTGAGGCAGGGACCGGACTGAGGCAGGGACCGGACTGAGACAGGGACCGGACTGAGACAGGGACCGGACTGAGACAGGGACCGGACTGAGGCAGGGACCGGACTGAGGCAGGGACCGGACTGAGGCAGGGACCGGACTGAGGCAGGGACCGGACTGTGACAGAGACCGGACTGTGACAGAGACCGGACTGAGGCAGGGACCGGACTGAGGCAGGGACCGGACTGAGGCAGGGACCGGACTGAGGCAGGGACCGGACTGAGGCAGGGACCGGACTGAGGCAGGGACCGGACTGAGGCAGGGACCGGACTGTGACAGGGACCGGACTGAGGCAGGGACCGGACTGAGGCAGGGACCGGACTGAGGCAGGGACCGGACTGAGGCAGGGACCGGACTGAGGCAGGGACCGGACTGAGGCAGGGACCGGACTGAGGCAGGGACCGGACTGTGACAGAGACCGGACTGAGGCAGGGACCGGACTGAGGCAGGGACCGGACCGAGGCAGGGACCGGACCGAGGCAGGGACCGGACCGAGGCAGGGACCGGACCGAGGCAGGGACCGGACCGAGGCAGGGACCGGACTGAGGCAGGGACCGGATTGTGACAGGGACCGGACTGTGACAGAGACCGGACTGAGGCAGAGACCGGACTGAGGCAGGGACCGGACTGAGGCAGGGACCGGACTGAGGCAGGGACCGGACTGAGGCAGGGACCGGACTGAGGCAGGGACCGGACTGAGGCAGGGACCGGACTGAGGCAGGGACCGGACTGAGGCAGGGACCGGACTGAGGCAGGGACCGGACCCTGAGTCATGTTTATTCGTATGGCGCAGGTCACACACATTAAAATCACACAACAAGTTAGAACCTGCATTAAAGAGTATAGTAGAGTCTTTCTGGTCTCTCTCTGATGTCTCTCTGGTCTCTCTCTGGTCTCTCTCTGTTCTCTCTCTGGTCTCTCTCTGGTGTCTCTCTGGTCTCTCTCTGGTCTCTCTCTCTGGTGTCTCTCTGGTCTCTCTCTGGTCTCTCTCTCTGGTGTCTCTCTGGTCTCTCTCTGGTCTCTCTCTGGTCTCTCTCTGATGTCTCTCTGGTCTCTCTCTGGTCTCTCTCTGATGTCTCTCTGGTCTCTCTCTGGTCTCTCTCTGGTGTCTCTCTGGTCTCTCTCTGGTCTCTCTCTGGTCTCTCTCTCTGGTGTCTCTCTGGTCTCTCTCTGGTCTCTCTCTGGTCTCTCTCTGATGTCTCTCTGGTCTCTCTCTGGTCTCTCTCTGGTCTCTC